TGCCTGGCCGCAGCGGGCGGCTGTGGATGCGGGCGGCCGTCCCACTAGTTTACAGAGCTGCAGGCACCCTGCTCCCTCTCTGTGCCACACACACATAAATTATTTTTCAAATGTACAGATCGGGGTAAAAACTTGTCTTGGTTCCTCTCCCATTTGCAGTGAGGGGAAAAACTTAATTTTTACATTATATTTTTTAAAATCATGTAACCCCCCGAACACATTTTTCAACTTGAGGTTTGCATAGCAGACTTTTAATGACCTTGGGATCTATTAGTGCAACCGTTTGTGTTCTACGTTTTTTCAAGATTACGTGTTGCACACGGTACTACTCTGCCCGCTGTGTGTTCTGTCGGCACAGACGCCCTCAGTCCGCGTGCGGCTCTCTGTGGGCGCTGGAGGCCTGTCTCAGCCGGGGCTCAGCCAGCGCCAGGCCCTCAGCCTGCCCCCGCAGGAGCTCACGCAGGGCTCGGGGCCGCGGGCCAGGCAGGCGCACGTGTGCGGGGGTCACTCACGCGCCGCCTTCGTCTGGAAGTGCCCCAGGGACAGACGGGATCGCTGGGAATGTATGTTCATTTGTGTAATGTCTGGTCAGATGGAAACATGTCTCTCCATTAATGAAGCAATAAAGAGTAAAGATACGCGTTCAGATCGTGTGTTGGGAGGAGCGATAACCTGGACCGGACTTGCGCCCAGGAGGAGGCGCTGCTGCTGCAGTGTCTGAGCCCGCCCCGAAGGCTGGTGGGGAGCAAAGGCCGTGCTCTGGGGGGCGCTGACACGTGCGTGGGCGTGGGTCGCTGCAGACAGGACGGGATGCTGGCTGTCGGATGCAAGACACGGCTGGGAATCCCCGCGCCGCCGCCGCCAGGGCGCTCGGCCCCCATTCAGACCAGCCCTGCCAGGAAGAGCTCCCAGCCGTCTCCTGTGTGTGCGGACGGTTCAGAGGTCACCCCCTCCCGTCGCGCCTTGTCCGGCCGGCATACCATCCGGAAGCGCATCCTCACAGCACGGTTCCCAGAGCCCTCGCCCCCTCACCTCACACCCCGAGGCCCCGAAGAGCTCCCAGCCGTCTCCTGTGTGTGCGGACGGTTCAGAGGTCACCCCCTCCCGTCGCGCCTTGTCCGGCCGGCATACCATCCGGAAGCGCATCCTCACAGCACGGTGTGTGCCCCTGGCCCCCAGCTGCCCGCTCTCTGCACTGCATGTGCCACATGATCCAATGAACTGCTCTTTTTCTTTAGTTTCAGCTGGATTTCGGTGCCTGACCACTGACGGATTCCTGACCAATGTGCGCAGAGGCCGGCTGAGGTGAGGCCACGAAAGACCACAGGGTCTCGATGCAACCCGGACAGTCTGCCCCTCCTCCCTGGTGTGGGAAAGACCCACCGTTCCTGTCAGGACGGTTGGATTCCTGGTCAGGGCACATGCCTGGGTTTCGGGCTCACTCCCTAGTAGGAGGTGTGCAGGAGGCAGCTGATCCATGATTCTCTCTCATCACTGATGTTTCTCTCTCCCTCCCCCTCTCCCTTCCTCTCTGAAATCAATAAAAATGTATTTATAAAAACATATTCCCCATGTTTGAAGAAATCAGCTTTAGGATGCTCTGTGGGGTTTAATGCTGGTTTGGCATAAAGACTACATTTATGAATTAGAGGGAATGAGGTTCAGCACATAGACTGACTTGGCAACAGTAAACTCTAGTGTGCAGAGAAGTCCCGTTCTACACAGCGCCCTCAGGAAACCAGACCCTGTCCCCGGACCGGGGAGGGGGGCGGCGGGGGGGGGAAGGGAGCCTTCCTCATGGGCCCAAGTGGGGCTGCTCTGCTTCCTCACTGAGCTCGGGGTGTGGGGACGACACTCAGCACTTCCCAGGGACCCCCCCCCTCCCTGCCAGGCTCCGCGGGCACCTGCCCTGGGCCCCACTCCTCACTGGGAGGAGCTAGTCCAGCTCCTACTCCAGCTCCTACCAACAGGCCATGCAGACGTGGACACGTCCATCCTTCCTGGAACAGGTCGCATTGGGCAGAAAGTGTTTACAAACCTACATCCCGAGGAAAGAGGGCCTTGGAAGGCAGGGCAGGGCGATTGGTTCGGTGAGCCCATCGGTGCACGGAGCCCGTGGAAATCACTGTCTCCCGAGCCTCAACGCTGCTCTCATGTGAGAAGGAAAGTCCATACTAGGTGCACAGGCTTCCTTCCCGCACAGCGGGCAGCCTCCACCAGGGCGAGCAGCGCCTCGAGAGCCACCTCCAGGCTTGGCAGGCTCCGGCCGGCCGACCGACCGACCGACCATCCGTCCTGACGGTGTCCCACTCAGAGGCCGAAGCACCCTCCGCCTTCGTGCTGTGGTGCCGAGCACCGGGTGCTAAGGGCGCGGCCGGCTCACACACGGCCCCTGGGGGGAGACAGGCAGTATTGGCTGTGATGGCGGCCTCCCCCGGTCAGGGGGTCGGCGTGGAGGCACCCTGCCTGGGTGTGACCCCCAGCTCTGAGGCCGCCCCACCCTTCCTGTCAGCACCGCCCCCAGGAGGCAGCAGGATTTAAAATGCAGGGAGTCAGTTGGCTGAAAAGCTGACATTTGAGCTTATATTTCTTAAAATTTTGCTTTAGAATTATGTTTATACATAAAATTGCTTTAAAGACAATATTCTTAACCATGCTTGTGTGCTTTAAAAATCTTGTTTCAATAAGACAGAACAGTATAAAAGTAAGCTCACCTGTTTTTAACTGATTTGAGAGAGAAATATCTATTTGTCGTCACACTTAGTTACACATTCATGGGCTGCTGCTTGTCCGTGCCCTGACCGGGGATCGAACCCGCAACCGTGGTGCATCAGGACGATGCGCTAATCAACCCAGCTACCGGCCAGGCAAGTGAGCTCTAAGCTTGACCCCCTGTGGCCAGGCCCCTAAGCCTCACTTTTGGGACAGCCACCCCTCCACCCACCCGTGCAGCCCCGTGAAGGATGGGCCAACCTCCCTCATGTTGCCGTGTGGGCACCGCCTGCCCGATGCCAGCGCCGTGAGGGGGCAGTGACCTGGGTGGTGTCGCCGGCATGAACGACTGTGGGCATCTCTGAACACAATCGCCCTGACCCTCCATCCTCTGCTTTAAAGACAAAGTGGAAACCCCACGAAGGGGCAGGAGAAGCTGGGGGTTCTTTCCTCCCAGGCCCGGCCCCGGCCTCCCCGTGGGCAGGTGAATGCAGTCGCATCCGAGTGTCCGTCCGCGGCTGCGATCCTGTGTCCCAGAGCGTCCCGGCCACACGTGCTCAAAGGGGACGGTGTCCTGCCCCAACAGACCGTTTTCCTCGTCCAGTGAGCCTGGTTACTGGGAGGGGGTGACCTCTGAACCATCCGCACACACAGGAGACGGCTGGGAGCCGTCCATTCAAGGGGCAGAATGTACACTATGCGTGCGGCGTTTAGCAAAATTAACTTTCAGAAATTTAGTTCCATGAAAGGCAAAGGCAGGGATTTTGCAGGAACATCAGACGTACCTGCTTCCCTCCGCGGTGACCTTGGCTGAAGTGCGGCCGATGCCCACCTGGCGGGGTGGGGGCTCTCCTGTCCGCACCGGCCTCCACGGCCCGAGGCCCACGCTGTCTGTTGAGGTGCTGGCTGCTCCGCTTTTCTGAGAGGAGGCGAAAACACCTCCCAGTGGGCACAGCACGGACGAGACCAGTGGGAGAGGGGAGAGCAGGTGGGTGCCCCGTCTCCCTCACTCACGCTTCCCACTGATCGGTCCCACGTGCTCGCTCCTGTGTGGGTGCCTAGATTCTCACCTACTTAGTGTCTTTGGAAAAACCTACCCAGTCGACCTCATGTCGTTAGCACCTCTCTCGTCAGAGCCCGCGATCTGCCGGAGGGTGCCCGGCACTGGGGACGGGACGGGCTTGGGGGCTGCCCCATCCAGTGAGGCGGCGGATCCCCGGGGGGACGATGAGCCTTGGGGGCAGGCGTCCCCAGCGCAGACACACCAGGGGAGGCTCTGCGAAGGCCTGGGGTCCGCTTCACAGCTGAGAGCTGTACTCAGTCCCCAGGCACCGACCCAGGGCACTGCAGGCCCTCAGGGCCCGGCCTCCAGGGTTGCTCTGAGGGCGGCTGCGGTGAGCCCAGGTTGGCGGTGACCGCCCACAGCAACGGGAAACTCAGACCACAGAGCACCAATTACAGTGAGTCCCAACAGGCCGTTTCGTCGAGTCAATGCGACTGAAACAAATCAGCAAAATCTGGAACCGTACACTTCAAAGACCACATTTATTAAATCCAGGAGGAGGGCACCAGGGGCTTTAACGTGAGCTGCAGGCGCTAATCAGCAGCCGGCCCTTCAGCAACTGCGATGGGAGGAAGCACTTCAACAGCATGAAGGTGCTCCGTCACCCGCTCACCCAGCCCCGCCCACACGCACCTCTGCGAGGCAGGGGGTGTCCCTTCCCACGCGTGCTCACGGTGCAGGAGGCTCTTCTACTCACATCTGAGCAGCTTGCTGCTGCCAGTGCCGGTCCGTTCGCTGTGGACAGTCCGGCTGCCACGCTGCCTCCACGGGGTCCCCGTCCTGATGCCTCTCCCTGGGTGCGTCCCGGGGACCACCCAGCACCCTCGCTGATTCCACGCGGTCCCCGTCCTGACGCCTCTCCCTGGGTGCGTCCCGGGGACCACCCTGCACCCCCGCTGCCTCCACGGGGCTGTTTCGGCAGAGTTCGGGTCTGGTATCCTCTCCCCCACTTGTTCCAGCCGGTGCCACCAGCTCATCCTTTCTTCCCGTGCTGCACAGCGAGGGGAAGTCAGGAGCCGAGTGCCTGGGGCCTCCTGAGCCCACCGGGGAGACGGGCACAGAGAGACACAGCCACTGAGGGTAAACATCAGCATGGGGCTGAGAGAGCGAGGCCTGGGACACGTATGTCAGCGATGCTCATCTTGGAACTTTCAGAACTTAGGGAAAACGTAGGCTTTTTTCAGAATCCGACTTCATGTTGTTCGCACCTCTCTAGTCAGACTCTGCGATCTGCCAGCTTCTGCCCCAACAAGGAATCAGGGAAGCGAAGGAGCGCTCCTGGCGATTCCTGGACCACTTTGCGAAAACGTGGGGCAGGTAAAGGCAACGCTGATGAAAAGCGGACGGGGCCAGAGGAAAGGGCTAGTGCTCACGGGAACCGTCCTCAGTTAGCAGATTTCACTGTAGACGTGATGCTGCAGCCTCAGTGGGCAGGAAGGGGACCCAGCGAGCCCATTCCCTCCTCTTGTAAAGGCCACGCAGGCCGCACGGGGTCATCGAGGCCGTGCATGCCCCAGCCCCTCCTATTTGCTCCACGGTGGGCGGGCTCCAACTTCCAACCTACAAGGAGGTTTCCTAACTCAGGCAGGGACACTGACACACACCTCCCGGGTGACCAGGGCCAGGAAGCCTAGCAGCCGCCCTGCGGCTGGGCCCAGGGCGCGGCCACACATCAGTCCTGTCCATGGGACGGGCGCTTCCTAGCCGGTGCTTCTCAGGACCCACCTGGGCCACTGGGCATCCCTCCATGTTCGTCGCACCCGGGTGAACGTGGACAGTCCTGGCTCCCGATGATTTGTGAAGGCTGACAACACACTATTATTCCAGCAAAGCCCCAACCAACGGTGACACCCCAGGTCTTCACCAAGAAAGGCACCAGTCAGCCCAGCCAGCTGGCTCGGTGTTTGACCATCGACCTGTGAACCAGGAGGTCACGGTTCAATTACCAGTCAGGGCACACGCCCAGGTTGCGGGCTCAATCCCCAGTAGGGGGCGTGCAGGAGGTACCTGATCAGATTCTCATCACTGATGTTTCTCTCTCTCCCCTTCCTCTCTGAAATCAATGAAGAAAAAAAATAAAAGAACATATATATATATTAGAAGCCCAGTGCAGGAATGTTCCTGCAAGAACAGGGCTTCCTCGGGCCAATCTCACTGCCAAGCCCCACCGCCCAGGGCCGCACACGGGGGGGCCCCCAGCTGGCGGCGGGGCTTAGGCGGCACACGGGGACCTGCCCTGCCTGCAGTATACAAACTAGCCGCCATCTTTGTTGGCAGTTAATTTGCATATCGTGCTGATTAGCCAATGTGAGGCGTAGCGAAGGTACGGTCAATTACCATGTTTGTCTATCAATAGGATATTTTATTTTATTTTTAAAAGAAAGGCATTGAACTACCTGCACTAGGCGGGGCTTAGGCGGCACACGGGGACCTGCCCTGCCTGCAGTATACAAACTAGCCGCCATCTTTGTTGGCAGTTAATTTGCATATCGTGCTGATTAGCCAATGTGAGGCGTAGCGAAGGTACGGTCAATTACCATGTTTGTCTATCAATAGGATATTTTATTTTATTTTTAAAAGAAAGGCATTGAACTACCTGCACTACCAGGATGGGCAGGGCGGACCAGCCAACCTCATTGGCCTTGCAGGTCTCAACTCTTTTCCTATGACTCGGCTCTTCTCTTCAAACCGAGGCGTGGGTGGAAGGAGCTGCTGTCAGGGCCCCAGGCCCAGAGAGGTCAGGCTCCATGTGGAACAAAGGCGATTCCATAACAGAAAACAGACTCCTGGCTCTTGGAGTTTCAGCTTTTATTAGAAAAATCCTGCACAAAATAGAAGATATTTATCAAGGACAACAGTATTTCATTCGTGAAGTTCATTTACAGCAGAGCCAGGCCCTGGGAACCCGAGGGGCCAGGGCGGCGCTCCTTCCTGTCTCGGTCAGCGGTTCTAGCTGCTTCCCCACGAGAAGTGTGCCAGGCGCCCTGTGCTCGGCAGGAGGGCTCTCCCCAGGCGGGCGCCGGGGTCAGGGTCTCGCTGCCTCCTTCCCTCCATCCCGTCCTCTGTGCCAGCGGGCCTGTCTGCGCCTGGGAGCCGGGTCCTGCGGCGGCCGAGCTCCCCACGAGGGCCGCGGGCTGAGTCTGCCTTGGGAGCGCCTCCGCTGGGAGCTCCTCCGCTGGGAGCAGTTGAATTATATCTGAGTCCAAGGTTTTTAAAAAGAAAAGTGTCTATTGTGTCACCAAGAAGCTCACCTGGCTACTGCTGCTGCGCAGGCGGCAGACGGCGCCCGTGGTGCCTCCATCCCCCCGCCCCCGTTTCCATTTCCACACACAGAGGCCAGTGCCCCAGGCCTGTGCCTGGGATGGGAGGGCGCTGTGCTGCTCATCCTGGGGTCCAGGCCTGGACACGGTGGGGAGGCGGCGCCTGCAGAACTACAGTGCGCGGCGCCCACGGGGAGCGCTGTGCAAAGCCAACCCCACGGAGGTCCCGGCCACAGCGGGGGAGGCCAGGGCTGGAGGGGACCGGCCTGGCTACCGGGGTGGAAAGCCGCCCCGGTGTGCACCTCCGCGGCCCCCCCGGAAGCCGCCGCGCTCTCCGC